AAAGGGCAACTGGGATGTGGGAAAAGAGAAGGGAAAGAAGGAGAAATTTTGTGTGTATGTATATACAGGATAGTTAACATGGTTGTTCTACTGTCTTCTATTTCTTTGCTGAAAGAAACTGTCAATGAGTCTTTGGTTGATCAATATTGCATTTCTATATCTGTTTTCATGAGAAGCCACTTTGAAGATATCAATATATAATACAGCAACCGTTGTTAATTCCCTGCCACTTTGTTTGTAACTCCATATTGTCTGTACTGTTCTTTTGCTATGTTGTAAAATGTTATCTGTCTCTTAATGTTTTTCTCCTTTTATTTTTAAAATAAAAAAAGGAATGGTAATAAAATAGCAGCTGTGGATCAATGGCACAGAATAGAAGGCAGAGACACAACTCTTTATGCACTGTCATATGACCTTTTAAAAAGCAGTCAAATCCCTTCACTGCAGGGAGGCAGACATTAAGAAATTGTGCTGGAAACCATGGCACTCCACATGCTGAAGGCAGAGCTTTGCCCCATACACATCACCAGACACTAAAATAAAATCATAATGACTTAAAAATCTCAACATGAGAACAGAAACACTTAATTTGCTGGCAGACAAAACACATAAACTCTCAAAGACATGCGTGCATAAAAATGCTTGCTGAATAAAATTCCAGCTGTGCAAGAAATAATACCAAGAATCAATACATGAGATCACATTAAATTTAAACCTTTTTGCCCAGAAATGTACCCATCATCAAAGTGAAGAGACACTCTACAGAATGGGAAAACATTTTGGTCAGCTACTTCTTAGAAAAGGATTAACATCTAGAATATATTAAAAACTAGAAGTAAATATCCCCCAAATTTAAAGACCCAATTCTAAAATGAATAGACATTTCTCAGTTTAAGAGACACAAACAGCCAATAAATACATGAAAAAATGTTCAACATCACTGGTGAAGGAATCTGTGCGCTGCCATCTTGGTACAAGCAGAGACCACTGTAAATCCCTTCTCCCCTGCGATTCCTTTATTAATCCTGCTGCAGATGTATCACCATGGGTCAATACAGCTCAGAAGATACAGCTACATCTTGTAATTCGCAATCATTGTTTTGGTCCTTCTCTTAAGTAACAAGATGCAATTCCTTGGATATTTTCAAATCCTGATCCTGGTGAACAGACGCCCTTTGTAGTGAACTTTCCCTCCCAAAAGTTCCATTGTGAAATGTTGGCCACAGCCTCCCTTCCTGTACTCATGACCCTATACCAGACCTTGGAGCCTGTATGCGCATGCGTTGTGCTGGCGGGTAGTACCAGAGTTGTCCCTCTAGGTTTGTTCTGAAATAAACCTGTCCTGTTGGGCTCTTATCTTTACCTCTGCTTCTTTTCCTTTTTTCCTAACTGGCTATTCCACAAATGCAAATGAAAACAACATCAAGATACCATTTCAGCCAAGAAGGAATGGTAGCCTCAGGAAATCAACCAATAACAAACATTAGTGAGGCTTTGGAGGGAAAGGAATATTTCTTGATTGTTGGTGGGAGTGTAAACTGATACAACCACTATGGAAATCAGAATTGAGATTCCTTAAAAACTAAAAATATGTTACATTTTACACATTTATTTCCCTTTGAAGTACCTTGCCACAAGAGCTAAAAATTGTAAGCTGCAGTGATGTCTGTATTCCCATATTCATAGCAGCAGAGTTCATAATAGCTAAATCTTAGAAACAGTACATGTGCTCTTCAACAGATGAATGGTTTAAGAAAATACGGTATTTGTACACAGTGGACTAACAGCCTAAAGAAAGATAAATTTGAGACATTTATAGGAAAATGGAGGCAACTTGAGACCATAATGTTAAGTGAAGTAAATCAGACACACAAGTTTGGACACTGCATGGTTTCTGTTATATGAAAAGGTTAATTAGAAAATAATAAAGAAAAAATACTGTTTTCTAAGTATATCTCTGTTGTCAATTTCTAGTTTTACTTCACTGTTTTGTGAGTTCACTTTGCAGAATTTCCATTAATTTCCACCTTAAGGTCTTTATTGTTGCTATGATTGTGGTCTGTTTTGCGTTTAAAAAAGAAAAATAATATCCACAATAGGAAAATCTATGAAGATAGAAAAATGAGTGGTTTCCTACTTACAGATGGGAGGGACTGGAATATGGCACCTGCAGGTAGAGTGTCTTTTGAGGAGATAACAACAATGATCTAAGTTTGATTGAGGTCATCGTTGTACATCTTGGTCAATGTGCTAAAATATACTGCATGCTACATTTTAAGTTTGTAAATGGTGTGGTATGCTAATTTTAGTTCAATCAAGCTGTTAGTTGAGTGAAACTGAGAGAAAAACCAATTAAAGAAATCTTTGACCACCTATGAGTGTCAGTGTTATGCAGCTCTCTCTATAATTGAATAATTGTGAAGAAGGTAAGTTCAATAAAGTCATTTAATTTTCACAGAGTATTATACTAAGAAATAGATAATAGCTTGAAATTTGGGTCAGCTAGTGCATATACAGTCTCATTATTTCTCAAAATAGTGTTTATACATATTATTTTTTCTTTTTAGTGGTTAGATATTCAAAGTTTCTTAAAAGAAAACCATTGGCACTTCTTTTCTTGACATTATTACCATAATATATTGACTGACAATTACTTATAACGTTTATATACATGAGCGTTTCCATACGTCACAATGATAATCATCTGTCTTTTCCAACCAGCGGTTTGAAAACATCTCAGTTAGGCAGAACCGGCCCCCACTTAGTTTCCCTCCTGTGTGTGGGTTACATTGTACAGCATGCTGCGCATCCATAGGTAATGTCTGTAGATGTTTAGAGACAAGATGTGGAGAATTTTGCATTTTATATTGCTCTCAAAAGCACAGGCTTTAAAAATGGCTGCACACAATATTTGCCCCTTGTTCCATCTTCACTTTTTCTGTGTGTATTTACAGAATACAGAGGTATATGAATACAGAGGTAATATGAATTTCTGATTTTTGTGTCCTCAGTATCCTATATCATGAGGTGGTAGAAACATCTGACTAGAAGGATAAAGTGAAAAAATAGAGAATTACTTGGAGAAGGAGGGAAATATAATATTATACTCTAATAGCACTGAACTAAACTCTCAGAACCTCAGCTAATACTCTGAACTAACAGGCCATATTCCTTTCATTTTTTGTCTTACTGTCCAGTTATACATGAATGTCTGGTAAGAGAAAATTAGTAACTAGATAATATTGAAGGCCACATGCAGAAAAGGTTGTTTATTGTTCAAATCAAGTATATTACTAGGTTACAAAGTTTGAGGAAAGAAGCTAGTTTGGACAAACAAAATTGTGCAAATCAAGTAGAAATTTTATAGGATATACTTTGTATTTTCCAAGTGATTTCAATGCTAAAATCCTACAAGAAAAAATATTTGCCTTAATGATATGCTGTGAAATTAACTAAACTCACCATGCTATCTGCCCTAAGTCATGGGCTACATCCCTACAGCTGATCTTACCCTTCCCTCTTCTATCTTCGCTCATGCCAGTGTGATTCTCTCAAATTTCAAACAGTACTTTTTCTAACCCCATTTGCCAGGCCATTTTCAGAATTTTTCTTTTTCCTTCCTCTGTAAGTTTTCCACTTCCATACAGCCCACTGCTTCCCTTTGGCTTGCCTTCTTCACTTCCCCAGAGTCTCCTTTTAGTCCCATGAGATTAATAGTCACATTTTTCTTAGTAAGTTGAGATCAGTTTATATTAAAGTCTCTCTTCTCTATTTTAGTTCTTTGAATAAAATCTCCCACAGTACTATTAAAAATCTTCCTCTGATGTTCTTTGACATATACAAATACTCCAGTGAATTACATTTTATTCAAATAGAATATGTTTTTGAAAATACAACAAAATCTTCAGGCTTCCTGTTTTTTTTCAAAGCAACAAAATGTGATTCCAGTGACTCTCCTTTTTTAAAATTTATGATGAAATACATATCAAAACTAAAGTAGAATCATTATGGGAACACTGAAATTTGAAGTATGCCTGCCTTAAATAGCATTAAAATTATGGGTAAATCAAGAGGGCAAAGGTCTTATAAATAATGGAGGACCATCTTGTAATGACTGATTCATGGCAGTGGAATTAAGTGAAATGCTCGAACTTCTAATGCCATACACCTTAAAGACTCTACTCTCTCTTTTTCTTCTTTCCTACCTTGGCAAAATTTTGAAAACAAAACAAGCAACATTTTATGACAACGAAAGTAACGGTCACCACACAAGCCAGCAGGAAGCCAATCACATCCAAAGAGTGGTACTGGTACCAGGTGAGGTTCTGAGCAAGTGGCCGCAGGTGCTTGGCACCTCTGTGGCGCATGACAAACTCGATCCAGAAGACTGCTCGGTCCAGGGGCTTCATTGGCTGATCATGGTGAATGGTTGATAACTTCATAGCATTGCTTTTATAGCTGAAGGAAAATTAAGTAAGTTCAAAACTATTTAGAAATGACAGAATGTGAAATTGTGTGAGTTTTAAAACTGAATGCTTAAAATGCTAAAACCAAAAAAAACCAAACTTATAGTAAAAAGTTGAAATCAGCTCCACAAATCAAAGACAAAAGGCAAATACCTGCGATGGTTCATACTACATTAGTGAGTAATGTTATTAAGGATTACAGAAATAACTAGAAACCAGTATTGAAATTTTATCCAGATATTAGTCATTAAAACTATAAAATTCCTTTTTTGAATACTGCATGGATTTTATTGTTTTTTTTTTGTAAACATCTCTGTTTTGACTTCATAGATAAATGAAAATCCAGACCTCTTACAATATGCATGTTTCCTGTTTCTTTGATCCCTTCATATTTCCTTGTCATTCTTCTGTTCTCATCCTATCATTCATCTCATTCCATTTACAGGATATTTCAAAAGTTTGATTTTGCTTGAACCTTGCAGAAAATATTCTAATAAAACACTGAAAATATTTATTGTGATACTCCCTGCTTGGTACCCATGATGGCTTTAGCATTGACCAAATTTGCACTTTATTATTTTTACTTCAGACTCATTGGTACTTCCTTGGGCTTCATGCAAGAATTTATCGATAAGTACTTATGAGGAATTTTTTGAAAGTTTGTACTCACAAAGGGTTGTCAATGACTGTCTTCAGTGCATTTAGCAAATCTGTAGTTGATAGTGATTTGAATTCCAGTTTAACAGCTGCTCCTTTAGCCTCCATTTGAGCAATGTTATCATGTTGTTCCCCAAACAAAGGAATGCCCACCATAGGGATTCCATGGTAGATTGCCTCATAAACACCGTTGGCTCCACCATGTGTTATAAAAGCTCTGGTTTTTGGATGACCTAAAGATTCGGTGAATGTCAGAATAGTAATTAGTCATAAATGTAAGAAATACAATGGGAAATGTACAATATGACTCACTGAATGGGGTGGTGATTTATAGATAAAGATCCTGTAACTATGAAACTGTCATGACATTGCTTTCATATCTCAGAATAAGGAGGACCTATTCAACTTGAAAGGAAAGTGAATGCTACCTGGCATATATAGGTTATTTCTTTAACAATGAATACATGATTATCAGGGAAAGTCCATGTAATGTGATAAAATAAACCAAGTGCCATAGAAGGTTATGTGTGTATTGTGTGTAGTGGAATTTGTTGTATTAATGGGTAGTTCATTCACTAATTCTGAGGAAGATTGTACAAGTCAGCAAGAAGCGGCATCAGGACGAATGAAACTGTGATACTAAGTCATGCTAAAAATTTGAATTTTTCCAATTAATATTAAAACATCACTGAAAATAACTCAAGAGCGTTATTTTGAGTAATATTTGCAAAACCCTATTTGTGTGGAAAGACTGGAATTTGGTATTTCTTAAGCAATGTTTGAATTAGAAACAGAAAGAGAACCCTGGGATTTATTAAAACATCTTCTCTGAAAAACAGGTACATTGGAAATGAGGACCTTAATATTAATATTGTTTCTAAAAATACCAAAAAGCCAGGTATAACAATTTAGCTTGCGGGGCTGGGGATTTAGCTCAGCGGCACAGCACCTGCCTGGCAAGCGCAAGGTCATGAGTTTGATTCCTGGTACTGGAAAAAAAAACAACAACAACAAAAAACAATTTTGTTTGCTTTCCCTAAGACCTGAAGTATGTAGAATGAAATTAGATTCAGTTGTTGATTTTGCAATAAAACATGTTCCTGCTTTGCTTCATCTTCTGCAATCATCAGCCTTACTGACTTAGGTAATCATTATTTGCTCCTGTATCTCACCAAGCAGGTCGTTCTGGGGGAGCCACTTGAACAACCGAGTGTTGGGCCCTAAGGTATCTGGTTTCTTGCCATCAAATCTCCAAAGAACCTGTTAGGTAAAGACTGCATTATACCATATGTTGACTTTAAAAATTTAGAGACCATCAAGTTAAATGCCTTTTTAGAATAGATTTTAAAATGAGATCAAGGTGTCTAAATATCGAGAACTATAAAAGAAGACACAAACAGAATACAAATATTTTCTATACTTATACTTAATCAGTGTGTATATAATCATGATATTCCATGCATAGTGACTTAGACAAATAAGATATTATGTGTTAAAGTAAATTATTTTAAAAATTTGTATGCAAATCCTTATATTTTAAAAGGGATAAAAAATTTCTAATGGTTTGAATCTTCATTAATATACATGTTTGTGATACTGTCTTCTCCTAAAATTAACACTAACTGATATTATTTTTGTTTCCTAATAATCATTTGTTCCAGAGGCTATTTTATTAGTTATTTGCATAGAATATCATTTTGATTGTAAAATATCTAATCCACATAATCATCTTCTGTCAGAAATCAATTAATTGGGTTTTAGAAGTATGGATAAATTTTTTTGTATTAAATTTTAATCTCTTAATATAGAAAAAGTTTTAATAGGCATTTTTGACAAGAAGGCATCCTATTTATCACTACTGCTAGGATTGGAAACTAAATTAAGGAAACAGAGTTGGTTTGTAAATCATAACCAATGTACTTTTTCTAAAACTGCATACTCTTAAATGGTAAAAAATTCTTCAACATATTCTTTTCTCTTCCGTGGTTCAGTACAAAATGTTAACACCAGAGATTAACATGGCCCCCATAGCCTAAGCGTTGCATTGCCCTATTCTAAAATGATACTGGTTTTAAAACTTCTAAACTATTCTCCTAAACTGGAGCATTTCTTACAAATATTTGAGTTCTATTTACTGTGGGAATGTTAAAGTTAACTTCATGTTCTCAGCTAAAAGTTGGCATAAGAGATTACAAAACTGTTGTATCTGACAGTAAATAAAACCTACTGTAGTTCATAGCTATTCAAAGATTAAGCTTGAATTAGACAATTTAGACAGTTAATCCCTATTATAAGTGATACAGAGGGTGTCTGAACATTTTACCTAGACAGGTTACTTCCAGTTCAACTTTTAATTCCCTTTTGCTTTCTTGGTTATGAGGATATTAAGCTGGTGAGGAAAGAAAAAAGCAGAGTCCTTGTGGAGCATATTTCATAATGTACAGGTTGCAGTATAAGAGAAGAAGCCATCTCCAGTATAAGGGAAGAGGTGTTTCACCCCTTCCTGCTTCAGATATAGGTGCGGCTCACTCAGATTAGTTTTCTTTTCATTTTTTAATTAACATAGATAGTGAGTATTGAATTCTGAATTTCCCACTCTTGCTGTTCTCCACCTGTGTATCCCCTTGAAATGTACACTAAACAAGCCGATTCCAAAATTCAGATCAATAAGGAGAAGATATGAAATTTATTTCAAACCCTTTCAATACCTGTTTATTTTTTGTGATAGTGCATTATTAAGAAAAATGTAACTCTTTCTGAGTCATCGCTTATGTGTACAGTGACCTCAACAATTCTGTAAGATAAAAGAGCAAGTTTCTGAAAGCAGATCTTTGCAGAGCTTAATGATTTATCTAGTAGAAATCTGCCATTGAGACACTTTGCCAACCTTTTGTGGAATCTGTGCAAGGGCTGAAGCAATCACATTCGCTCTCTCTTCTGTCATGTTACTGACCATCGACCCCAGAGAAAACACCACAACTCCATGTTCTCCAGAGCTCTGCACAAAGTTTTCCATTTCCTGGGATGAAAGAATTGCTCCATCAGAAAAAATTAGAAGAAAAAATAAAAAGACAGGATCACAGCAAACACTATTGAAAAGTGTAATTAAAAAATGAAAATGATACAAATAAGGATTAATACAATTATTAGAGTGTCTGGTAAAAGTTTCACAAGACAAAGTTCACCATCGTCAACATTTGAGGTGAAGATATAGAAGTAGTAATGTTAATGATATTTTTGTGGAGTCAATGCTCCAAATAATTATTTGTTGTACAACTAAAGCCTCATATTTAGTATATTTTATATGACTATTTAAAAAAATCTTTACTGTCACTTCTGCTTCCATTTAATTCTACAAAAAGAGTGTGATTTCATTCCATTTCTTTTCCCCCTCATTTTCATCTCACATTCTTGTTATGGTTGATTTATTGTTGTTGAAGATTATTTTGGTGACACAATTATAGTGGCATGAAATACACATACAAATGTTATTTAATCTGAAGTTTCTTTTATGGCATATTTGTGTTACTGATGCTTCTTAGGTAAAACAGTTGTGATGATGTGTCAGATACATATTTTTTTTTCAATTATTTCCTAAATTTGGATGTTTAGGTTACTTCCAAGTTTTATTTATATAAATAATTACTAGATAGATAGATTTGTGCATCTTGATTATTTGTCTTCACATATATTCAAATGAGTATCCTATATAGCCAAAGGATATAAATGTTGATAAGGCAATGCAAGTTTGTAAATTTCTATTTTGTGTACTGTAATAAGGGCTATTATTAGAAATTTTGGCTATTCACTGTCTTTCTGTGTTCTTTTTGCCTTCTTTCTCTGTTTCTTGTATGTTTTTCTCTTATAATGCTGTTATATTTTGATTAAGAAATGTTTTAAGTGTATAGATATATTGTTTAATATCTACATTAATAATACTTCAAATATTTGACTTGTGGAATTATTGCACAGTCTAAACAAACTATATTCAGTAAAGATATTGGATTTTTACCACCATATCAGATTTCAGTTTTTATATTGCTGCTATAAGGAAAGTAAACGAAAAGAACATTTAAAAACATTATGTATAGTGCAACAAGAAAAACTTTCATTTCTACATATATCCTAGAAGTATAGTATCAATTTAAAATATCTTAGATTTTTGTGTCCTTTTATAAGGAATGTCAACCTCTACACTGCCAGAGTTCTTTGTGATTCACATCAAAATGATTTTCAGAGAACTCTTAGGAACTATGAGTTACTTAATTCATATTCACTGGTTTTTTTTCCTCTGCCTTCATTCTGCCAGGTAATCTTGGTGCTAGGATCATATCAGAGGAGGGAACTTTCCTGAGGTATCTGACAGCCTCGGTGTACAGTATTAAATACGTGTTTTAAGAAAGTAATCCATCTGTTTTAAACACTAAGATGTAAAATTCTGGTATATGAGGGAGGAATGGTTTTGAGTCTATGCAAGAAAAGAAGATGTTAAGCTTGACAGCAAATATAGCTGTGGGCTCAAAAGCGCACCATGGTGTAATGTTCTTTCTGTAATGTGAAATACTAATGAAGAACATCAATGGCTCCTATAACATTACCTCATTTCATCTATTGCCTGAACTTATGCATTTACTTTTAAAGAAGTCTAAAAGATTTCTTCCCATTATGACTTTATTTGACTTTATATGACTCTATTACCTTCAATTATTCAGGTGACAGATCGCATTTAATGAAAATGCATCTAATGTACTTCTCAAATATTACATAATTAGTATAAAAAGCAAGATATCAACAGCATCAATAGAATCCCCATTAATTCTGGACCATTGAATAAATGCTGCAGATATTCTCTTTAAATTTTTTTTAAGTTTTATTCCTACAAAACTCAATATGAAGTTCTTCCTTGATTACATCAGTTGGAGTTGCATTTGTATGAATACCTCTGTCACGATTTCAGTCATATCTTACAAATATCTTTGAAATGCTTCCCAATTCTAGCATTCTGCATCTCTGCAATCTAATCTGTTGATGCCATCTTCATGGATGGTTTTCTAAAAGAGGAAATCAGATCTTCTTTTTCTAGTTCAATTTTTTCTCTGTGTCACCAATGCTTTGATTAAACATGTTTGACACTATTATTTGCTTCTAAATTAGCTATCTAGCCAAATTAGCATCCTGATAAAATAAGCTTGCAGTTCTTGAGATATGTTCTCACTATTTTAACAGCTGTTTCATTTTGTATCTTTCCTGACTGCTCATCACTTGGCCTATTCCCGCAACTTGCTCATGTTTTATTATCGATTCTAATGGGATATTACGATCACAACTGAAAGTTTTCTTACTGTGATAGTGCTTCCCTTTAAAATTATACTTCACACACTTTTTATTACTTAATTATATTCTATCTTTTCAAATAGTATGCAAGACTGACGGAGAGGTACAGTGTCTATGTAGTTTCTATGCTTATCTAACACTTACTATTAGTGAATATTTGTCAGCTTATACATTTTGAATAACAGAAGAATGATGATGCAAATAATGAAGGGCACAATTCAATAGACTCTATTCTGAATACCTCCTAAGACTCCTGTGTTTTTTCATAATGGTAATGAAATGCGAATACTTGTGATGAAATCAAAATACAATGTTTTCAAGCAAAGTCTTTCTATGCAATCCTTGAATTTGCTATGTTGCTCAGGTTTATGTGAATTCTGGTTCTCCTGCCTCAGCCTCTGGTATTCTAGGATTACAGCCTGTGGTACCATGCCCACCTGAAATATGAGATTGGAATTGGCAAGGCACTTTTACCCTCTTCTCATATCTTTCTCACTGTGAGTCAAGATTCTCAATGAGTAGTGCAGAGCATTCTCATTGAAAATTAAAATAAAAATGAAGGCAGGAATATATTTACCTTAGGTAGAGGTTTGGCAGGTTTGCAATGGAGTCCTCCCACAAAGTCAACATTTGGTAAGGTAGGGCGAGGAAATTCCAAATCCCAGTAGCTCCGAATAAGCCACATATCTGCCTGTTTCATTTTCTCATATAATGTAGTGGGTTTTCCTGTATTGGGGAGGATAAAAAAAATAGAAACAGTTGGTTCATTTTAATTGACAAAAAGAGTAGTGTATAAATAATAAAATTCTTATATTTTACATATGATCCAATTGTGTCTGTAAGAAAGACAGCATTGAAGAGACTGTGTCTGTAATATTACCTCTTTATTCTCAATCATAAGCAGTCATTAAAATGCATATTACATAATAAAGCAAGCATTCCTGTCCCTCTCAGGTTGTCATAATAAAAGATACAAATATAAACAATTATTCAAACTTGAGAATCAAGTAAGCCTACTATAAACATGGTAAAAGTTTTCCAAGAATTCTGTAGTTTTTACCACTGATCAAGTTGGTACCTGATCCAAGTGAACCATGATTTCTATAAGATTGTCGCTGAAATTCTTGTACCTACCATCGCTTATGGTTCATACTAGAAGTATAATAGTCTACACTTATCATTTAAAAGCATTTGCATGAATCGCTTGGAAAACTTGCAGAAAATGAAGCAGAGATTGGTGCCTATACTTGATTGTGGGTCATTCTTTTTTAAGAGAAAAACATGATAAAATCCACTATATGAATATCTAGATTTCTAAAGATTTTAAACCTCTAAAATGGATGATTGGTAAGGAACTATCACAGCCTGTGGAATCAGTAGGATATCCAAATTATAATTTGTGAGCCTGATATAAAACATCATACTGTATATAAGTGAAGGTATCTTTTAGATAGTACAGGAAAAAAAAAGGTAATTTTAGGCACGGAATCTGATTTACTCTTAAGAAAAATGCTCCCTTGGTGTTACTAAATATTTTTGCTAGAAACACATAACTGTTCAACCTCCAAGTCTTAATTAATAAGAATATTAGAGAGATGCCTAATGACTTTTATTTTCAAATGAAAAGAGGATAAAACTGATATAAAACTGCAAGGTCAAAGCATGAAATCTTTGCTATAGAATTGTGTGACCTCCTGGGATGATCTATATTAGTAAAGAGCCACCAGCTGCTATGTAACCACATAGTGTAAGTGTTTCTACTATATATGTGAAATTGACAGATAATTTTAATTTTTAGTTCATCATTTACCTATAAAACACTACTTTCTCATTGTATATTCATCCAAACTGACTTGCAAAGGCACAAGGTAGTAACGACCTCCCTCTACTAATTAAAAACATGACTTACCTAAAGTTTCACTGTAAAGCTTGTTCCAATTTTTCTTATTAAATGTTTCAAGCCAAAAGTCAAAATAAATCATGCATATCATGTTTTTCACCCTTTCCATGAAAGTCATTTGACCACTTAAGCGTGACATGATAACAGGTACATAAGAAGGAGGAAATAGAAGCCCTGCAGCAGCTTTTTCCACATGGAAGCCAGGGGAGAAGCGAAGACTGTACACAAAAGGTAGTTTCAATAGCTCAGCCACTAGCTCTCCACAGGGCGCAACGGGATCTGCAAGAAGGACATCAAATTTTGATGCTTGTAGTTTTGTCACAAGTTTCTTATTTGAAACTGCTTCTTTACAAACATTCTCCCAAATCCCAGAATATTCCCTAAGAATGTCTTCCATTACTGGAGAATACGCCAAACATGTATCTACTGATTGTATATTCATCCACTTAGTGATTAACTGAGTGTAAAAGTCTTCCAGTTGTTGTCTACTCATAGATGCAGTAAATGTTTCAAATTTAATACCAGATGATGCATTAACATCAAGAAAAATAAAGCTTGAAGGTATCAGAACTGTCACATCATGTCCTCTCTGGATAAGTTCCTCTGCAATGATCTTCATATTCATCCAGTGGCTGTACTCCATTGGCCATACCAGCACCTTTCCACAGCTCACAAAGCTAAAACAACAACACAATTGTAGCAGCAGCAGAGCTGAGATCCATTTCATGGACATCTCGGTAAAATGCTGTTTTTCTTTTCAAATTGTGCTGCCTTCTTGAATGTAGACTCATGTCTACATTCAGGGAGGAATTGCCCAAGCAGTTAATTGATAACTTGGACTGGTCAAAATAAATATATCAAACTGACAGTCAGAAATGGGGACTGGTGGCATATAGAAAATACAGATATAAATTATGACATGTTTTTATGAGAACATTAATTTCTCTTATGATTAAGTAATTTCAGCTAGCTTAGAACCAAAGGCCAGCATGTGTCAGACACCAGTACTCTATAGGCAGTATAAAAATACTGTGAGAACAGGGACAAATGCAAGGTGACTGTCCCTGCAGTCTTGTGACACAGATCCAACAATATAGTACTTACACTAGTGAAATGTAATGCTTGAGTCATGACTCAAAAACATTTTATTGCAATTTTGATGAGGTATAATTCAGATACATACAGTTCAATAAAGTGTCTCTTAAAATGTCATGAAATGTTTTGTGATATACTTACAGAAATGTAACACTCTAACTCTCCAGTTTAAAGCATCTTGTTACATCCATAGTGTATTTTGTGCCCTCTCTCATTACAACAGCAGAATCAAAATAAGGAAAATCAACAGTGATTTCCCTAATGTGATTGAAGCACAGTGCCAAGGTAAAGAGGATGTGGCAGGATGTTGCAGAGAACAGAATTTCACAATGGCCATATAAAAAAGGGAACTAAGCACACATCATCTATTGCCCTCCCTTTGATGTCCCTTCAGAAGAAAGAGAGAAATTGCTTTGTAAGGGAAATATAAACAGAAGTCCCTGGGTGCTCCCATTCAGGCCACAGACACATGAGTTGCTTGTTGCTGGAAAAGGTCACAGCTTGTTGCTGTGACCTTGAAGCTGCTTTGGTGATCTGCTAGATTACCACAGTGTTTTACTGCCCTAGGCAAAGTGCCTTAGCTGTGTCACACCCTTTACTACCCAGGCTCATCCTGCACAGGTGACTCTACTGCTTCAGTTTTGGGTTTAGGGGTTTTGTTTCCACAGTAACAGACCAGCTTCCCCACTATCTCAGCTAATCCATCTCTGAATACCAATCCGGGGTCCCTTTTGACTATCACATAGTTCTGGAAACCCCAGCCTGTGTGGTTCAGCCTGTTGAAGTCCCCAGAAAAAAATGGAGTAACTTGTCCATATACCCACTGCTTTTCGTGATCTCAGTGTGTTCCACTAATCTACCCTTGTCCCTGCCAAATAGCTGGGTAGTCTACCCTGAGTAGCTTAGCTCAGAGAAACGTTTGGAAATAAATATGCAGCATCATGCACTGTTCCAAAATATTTCTCCAAGAATGGGAAACACTTCTATCAGCTATGATGGCTACACAGAGGAATGGTCCATCACCTTTGGCCTGCAAAAAAGATCTGTGATATTTCTCTATATTTGGAGTCCTCTTTTTCCATAGATTCACAAGTTCTGCACATTTTCACCAATAGACCTCCATACAAGGACCTAACTTTAGGTTATAACTGTACCTCTGGTTCTGTTTAGGGTTTCCATTTAGTTTCTTTGAGTGTGTACTTCTAAAAGCTTGCCTAAGAAATATCTTTTTGTCTCTTGCTGATAATTCTTTATTTTCTTTGATGGGAGTCTATGAACCTGTTCCTTCTCTCTTGGGCACGATGAGTCATGACATCTGCATCTCCACTTCATAGACTTCCTTGCATTTAAGACAATGTTAAGAAATGGCTGTACTGCCTAACTGAATAAAATCCTACATTATTAATTGATACACAAGTTCACAATCTTGTTATAATAATTGTAACCCCATCTAAAATGGTTTGTGTATGAGTGTTTCATTCTTTCTCTAAACACATGCACACATTTGCAAAAATATGCATAAGAGAGGTTATGTATGTGTTGTTACATCTTCAAAAGATAAAGAGTGATCCAGTCCATTAAAATATAGATAACAGTGCCTGGTAATGTTGGATTAGATCTCTTTGTTTGTTTAGTGCAATCCTTTGTGTATTCTTTTTCTCTTCTGGTTCTCTTTTGTGGTGAAGGAAAATCTTCTTCATAGGAAATAGAGGACTACCCAGAGCCCTCCTAATGTCTAAAGTAGGAAAATGAAATGGATTAAAGGTAAAGATGAACATACTCCGGAGGTGGATCCTGTGTATTACAAAATGTGCATCAGAAACTGGAAAGCTTTGTAAGTGTGAAATTTATTTATGCTATGTGAATGGTAAAGTATTTCAGGTCTGCAAAAATAAAATATTACTCCAGGTGATTGAGGGAGACCACTGTGAAGTGGCTCTGAGCAGGATTTCAAGTTAACAAATTAGTTTTCTATGTTTACTTGTGAGTAAAGAATAATGTTTACTTGTCCAAAGCCTAGGCCCCTTGTCTAGAGATGGTTAGTGGCCTCATAAGAAATGAACCTCTGTGAGTCACTAGTCTTACAGAGAGGCAAACTTATCCTTCTGCTTACATTATACATTACATGGATGATATCTTACTGGTAGCTCCAATTAAAAAAAACTTATATGCTGATACAAAATCAGAGAAGGATCAAACCAAAAAAAGAGAACTACATGCCCATCTCCATCATAAACTTAGACACAAAGGTCCTCAATGAGATAATGGCAAGCAGAACTTAGTAAATCATCAAGGAGGTTATATACAGTGACCGAGTAGGTTTCATCTCAAGAATGCAAGGATGGCTTATCATATAGAAATCAGTAAAGGTAATACACCATATTAACAGAATCAAGATCACATGATCTTCTCAATAGATGCAGAAAAAGCATTTGACAAAGTCCAACACCCATTCATGATAAAAATGCTACAGAAAATTGGAGTAGATCAACCTTAACTTTACCTGTTGAAAGCCATCTATGACACACCAACAACCACATCACACTAAATGGTTAAAAACTGAAACTTTTCACTCTAAAATCAGAAACAAGAGAAGACATCGCTTCTCGGCCTTTTGGCTAAGATCAAGTGCAGAAACAAGAGAAGAATGTCCACTCTCACCACTCTTCTTCAATATACTTCTGAAAACATTAGCCAGAGCAATTAGTCGGAAGAAACAAATAAATAGAATAAGGATAAAAAAAAGGAAGAAATTTAATTATCATTATTTGTGGATGACATAATTCTTCACAGAGCAGACCCCAGTAAGACTTGTAGTTACCAAAAGACTTGTGGATTTAATCACCAAATTCAGTAGTATAGCTAGATACAAAGTTAATATTCAAAAATCAATAGCATTACTGTACACAAATGAGAAAGTGAGAGAAAAATTAGAGAAACTACACCTTTCATAATAATGTCAAATAAAGAAGAAAAATGAAAATCTCAGAAATCAATCTAATGAAGGAAGTAAAAGAATTTTACATTGAAAATTATAGTGCTCTGTGCTCACTTTGAGAGCACATATACTAAAACTGGAAAACTACAGTACTATCAAAAAGGAAATCAAAGAGGATATCAGAAAAATACCCTTATTGTGGGTAGGAAAAATAAATATAGTGAAAATGTCCATATTCCTGAAATTTAATGCAATTCTATTCATAATACCAATAGCATACCTTCTAGAATTAGAAAAAACAATCTTATAATGTATTTAGAACCAGAAAATACTGGGAATAGCAAAAGCAATTCTGAGCCACAAAGGCAAAGCAGGGGCAATAAATCCCTGGTGTAAAACTATAGTACAAAGCTACAATGATTAAAAACAGCGATGAACAAAACCCCAGATGCACAGGAAATATTACAAAAAAAAAAAATAACTGGGATCTTGTCTTATTAAAAAAAAGCTTTTGCACAGCAAAACAAACTACCAGCTGAGTAGATAGAAAACTCATACATTGGGCAAAAATTTTTGCCAGCTGCTCCTCAAAGGACTATTATATAGAATCTATAAAGAAGTTTTAAGAAAATCAAACTTTCCCACATTTAAAGACCCAGTCCAAAAATGGGCATCTAAAATTAATAGTCTCTTTTCAGATGAAGAAGTAGAAATGGCAAATAAATACATGAAAAAATGTTCAACTTCATTGATCACTCAAGTTATGCAAATCAAAGCAACACTGAGATTCCATCTCACTCCAGAAAGAACAGCTATTATCAAGAAATCACCCAATAACAAATGCTGGTGAGGATAGGGAGGAAAAGCAATTTTTCTCCATTGTTGTTGGGGGTCCATACTGGTGCAACCACTGTGGAAGTCAGTGTGGACATGCCTCAAAAAATTAGGAGTAGGGTTTCCACTTGCCCCAGATAGTACCCTTCGTGGTTTCTTCCCAAAAGAAAGAAAAGCATCATATGACAACAATGTATGCACATCCTATGTTTTAACAGTACAGTTTGTAATACCTAAATCTTGGAATCAACAAAATGCCCATCAATGGATGAATGAATAAAAATGATGTGAGGGTTTTTTTAGGCAATGAACTACTATTCTATCTTAAAAAGTGATAAATTAGAGATATTTATAGGTAAATGGGTGCATCTTGACACAATAATTTAAGTAAATTGAACACATATATTTAAATATCACACTGTATCTCTGGTGTGAAAAAAATGAAAGAGTAAATAAACACCAAAATGTATAACAGATATTGTGAAATAAGAAGACAATGTTCAAATGGGAAGGGGAAGAAAAGGTGTGGTATGGAAAACAGAAGGAAGGGAAAAAAAACAAGAGACTAGAAACAACAGAAATGACTCTTTTGTAAATAAGAAGGGCAAGTAGAGTTAAAGGGAGTGGAGGAGGTTGGGGAAAAGTAAGAATCAAGACATATTATGTACACATACAAATTGCCTATACTGAATGTTATCATTATGTGTATCTAAGATGTATCAATAAAATTAATTTTTAAAAATTCTAAATTAGAAAAAAATTTTCAATATCTTTGTTGTATTTTATCAGTCACCTTCATTTTCTTGCTGTATTCTTTACATATAAAATAATATATTATGTACTTTATTATATATAGAATATATACATACAATATATTTTAATTGGATTTTTTTATTCTAGGTAAATTTGATTT